TGGGTAAAACTTTAATTGTGTGGCACTGAAATATCTCTGTTTTTTCAAGGGCGGGTTGTATGCCTTTCAAATATTTTTCCAATGACAATGATCTGTTTTTACAAATGAATTATTCACTTCTCACTACTTTATTAATCCGTTTAAAGCTGGAATACCTATTTTTCAAAGCAAAACAAAAAACTGTAACTAAATACATCTAGTGGTTCCCTGCGGTCAAAACAGTTTGGTTCTCCACATGGATGTGTTTTGCCTCTTCAGCTTTTTCAGACAGAAAAGTGAAAAAGAGAGTTCCCCCGTCACTCAGCCAATCAGCTCTAAGCAGTAAGTAAGTAAGTAATCTTTATTTATATACTGCCTTTCACAGACCAGAGTCACAACACAGTTTACAATTGTTATTTTTGGGCATTTGTCTCTCACTCCACACAGAGATGGGAGCGGGGTCGCCAGAACAGGAGGCGCATGCCAGACCTATTGTACATATTTTTAGTGGTAGGGGAAACCGGAGTACCCGGAGGAAACCAGGCAGACACGGGGAGAACATGCAAACTCCACTCAGAAAGGCCCTGGTCCGACCGGGATTCAAACCCTGGACCTTCTTGCTGAGAGGCAAGAGTGCTATCCACTCAGCCACCGTGCCACCCAAATAGTAACTAACTCTTTCTTATAAGTTTGAAAAATATTTAAAAAAAATGTTTTCTAATAGAGGAAAGACAGCGTGTCAGGGTCCGATTTGTTCGCAACATTTTACTTATACAAGACGAAAAACATTTACACAAAAAAATACAATACTAGAGAAGTACCCCAGCTTTAACACAACATTATGCTAAAAATCAAATCATATTACTGAACCTAAAAACAGAGCAAGAGGTTTCAGTTTCTGGAAATAAAGATGTTTACCACAGCTGAAAGCCGAGATTCTTATTTTGGCTTCTTCTTCTGCTCTTATCACAATCACAAATAGTCCAAAAAACCCCAAAAAGGTTAAAAATGAGCCTGTAACTGACAAGTGCTGACGGAGAGAAGTCTGTAATCTGCTCTGGCTTTGAGCGGAACAGAAAGTTTAATTTGAAAAGTGCAGATGGGAAGACAGAGCTGTAATTTGAAATCCTTGGACTGGATGCACAATCGACGATATCAGCTCCTGTTTGATTGTGTCCTTGGTGAAAAATAAGACGCTGAACGATGTCGAATTGTTGGAAGAACATTATGAACTTTGGGAATGCAGAGAGGACCGTTGCACTTGAATCCACCCCTCCCCCGTCTTCTGAAAATTGTGTTTTATCCGTCAATAAAAGGTGAAATCAAACTTGACATGTAAAAATGGTAAGACTATTGTTTAGAAAAAGTAGAGTGTTGATTATAAATGTTTTTAAACCACAACAATTAGAACTATATTTTTTGTATGTGTGTGTGTGTGTATCTGTTTTCTTGTGTGTGTGTTTTTGTGTTATTTATACATACATACATATTAGTAAAAAAATGGATAAAATAATAATGATAATAATAATAATAATATGTACGAATATATAAATAAATAGATACATAAAAAAATGAAAGTAAATAAATAATTAAACAAATGAATAACATATAATAACACTCATGTGACACGTTCCTGGCTTGTTTGCCTCTGCACTTTCAAACACATGTATTCGTATCCTTTGTCTCATTGATTCAAATTAAATTTAAAATTAGTCAGAGCTGCACCCAGCACACACAGCACCAGCCCCTCACTGATCCTCCTGCAGGTGCTGAGTCCACAGGAGCTGAGATCTTTCAGCGGGGGCTTCAGGCAAAGTGGGGTTGTGTCTTGCCCAAGGACACAACGACAGCAGTCATCAGACCATTGTTTTCTATGAAGATAAATTATGATCTGATTTGTTCACATTTTTTACTGTTCCATTACTCTTTCTGTTGGGACAAACACATCCGTCTATAACTCACCTAAAACAAAGTTGGACACACCCGCGCCTCACATTGTTCAAACTGTTGTTTTGGAAAAGTAAAGTGTACGATTATAAATGCTTGTTTACGTTTAATTCTACAATGTAATTTACCATTTCCAGCTTTTTTTTTCTCCCCCCCATGTCTATCTTTGTTTGCAGAGCGTGACCGTGCATCCAACCACAGCCTGCGCTTGGAACAGCATGGACACTTATGTTTATCATTACGGAGCATCTCTGCCTCAAATGAATGGCTTTGGAGACGCATTTCTCTGTCTGGCTTCCTGCCGCGAGAGCATGGCATGTCTGCTCCAGTGCTCCCTGGCCTCACAATGGCCTTCATGAAGAAGCTTAATCCTCCGTCTATTCTTCTCATTATTTTCTCTTCCTGTAGGTGGCAGTGTTTGAACTGAAGTAGGAAGCAGAGTCTGTCAGCACCAGTCACTACAATAGGTTATTAATGATGGACTTTGGAGAAAGAGACAGAGAGAGAGAGACAGAGAGGTAGAGAGAGAGACAGAGAGAGACAGAGAGGTATAGAGAGAGACAGAGAGGTAGAGAGAGAGACAGAGAGAGACAGAGAGGTATAGAGAGAGACAGAGAGAGTTATATAGAGAGAGACAGAGAGGTATAGAGAGAGAGACAGACAGAGAGAGAGGTATAGGGAGAGAGAGAGGTATATAGAGAGAGACAGAGAGAGGTAGACAGACAGAGAGAGAGAGAGAGGGAGAGAGACAGACAGAGACAGAGAAAGAGAGGTATAGGGAGAGAGAGAGAGAGATAGAGAGAGAGAGACAGAGAGAAGTATAGAGAGAGACGGAGAGAGAGAGACAGAGAGATAAAGACAGGCAGAGACAGAGGGAGAGACAGAGAGAGAGAGGTATAGAGAGAGACGGAGAGGAAGAGGTGTAGAGAGAGAGCGAGAGAAAGGTATAGGGAGAGAGAGATAGAGAGAAAGACAGAGAGAGAGAGAGACACACACAGAGAGAGAGAGAGAGACACAGAGAGAGAGAGAGCGAGAGAGAGACACACACACAGAGAGAGAGAGAGAGAGAGCATTTTTTCAAAGCAATTACAAAGCGCAATATAAAAGTTACGGCTGTGGAAATGTTGCATTGAGCGACACGGTTCGTATAGTCCCGTTTTGACGTGAAATCTAAGGTCTAAAGAATCTATTTGAAGTTTTTTATTCCCCCTCTCATCTGTGATTATTTACTCAGTCCGATGGAATGAATCAATATGCCATTTTAGTATGTCGTTTGTTGACTTTTATGCGCCGAAAAGGTAAAAAAAAAAACTATAACAGTCATTAGTATCCTGCGTGGAGGACTGATCTCAATCAAAAGGGGTTTTACATCGAAGAGACATATTCTGCAAAGTCTCCTTTTGAGGCAAGGCAAGTTTATTTGTATTGCACAGTTCACACAAGGCAACTGAAAGTGCTGGACAAAACAAGAAAAGAAACATTAAAATCGTACAAGGCATTCAAATCATGAATAATCACAGTACATTAAAAGGATATTCTACAGTTATACACAGGGAAAAAGATATGTTTTTAAACTGGATTTTAACTTTGTCAGAGCCTGTCTCACATTTTCAGGAAGACTGATTTTAGCTGCATGCACACATTTGAAACACATAGAGGCATAGATATTTCAACCTTCTTAAAATGCTGTAACTCTAAAAGTTCCTCTCTCAGTCTGGAACAGTGTGATGTCATATTTGTACCACGATGACATCATGCTCAGAGCTGTTTTTTTTTTCAAACATAAGTAATGCCTAATGCCCGTGAATTAGTGCCGGTAATTTATCAGGTGAAATTACTTTCTTTACACTCGCGGTTTCAGCCAATAATAATAACATTTGGGGTAAAAACAAACATATTAAACCCGTCTCCCCGGTGGCAGCACAGGGAATTACAGTTGGAAAGCATTTTTTTGCCTTGTTCGTGCTCTACCATCAACAATGTCTTCTGTCTGAATTAAAGACATGACCCCAGACTTTGTCATCTTCTTCAATATCATTTCTCCTTATGATTTAAAACATCAAACATGAAACAAGAGAGTAAATAGTCTCTTCATCACTATTTAGGGCCAATAATGATACATCACGTCTTCTTTAAAGCTGGAGTATACCTACACCTAAAGAATGTTGTCAATACATCGAACCACAACATGCTGTCTTCATCTTATCAGACTTTCTTTTTTTTTGCAAGGAAAGTTCCCTGTGAGTCACTATTTGATGCTTTAGGCAGACGATGTGGTCTGCTGTCTATGGATGAGACGGAAGCCATATTTACGTGCATGAGAAAATGATTGTGAACCGAACTGTGTTGAGAGCTAACAGTTATTATTGTTTACTTACATGTTGCTCATATGGTTTGAAAGTTAAGAAACCCCTAAAGCGTTAAAATCTGCAAGAAGTACGTATAATTTGTAGTGGTATTGGCCTATTTTACAAACGATCCAAATCAACACTTTTAGCCTTTGGAAACACTAAATGATGCAAGAGGAAGAAGAACTGATCTTTTTTGTGAAATAAAGTCTAAAATAAACCACATCTAAGCTGCCACATCCTACTGGGGGTGGACGCGGACCAGAGGAAGTGAAAAAAACACGCCACTTTCGCGCGCGTAATCCATTTGCGCGCACCCCCGAAGCTCTGTCACATCCAAAAAAAAAATTTTCTTTCCCATATTATACGTGACCCATTCTTATCTTTCCTACCATCGCATTAGCAGCGTTTCTCCCCCTCTCCTCGCGTCTATCCATCCCAACTCCACCACAGGACCGCGCGCACTCGCTCTCTCTCTCTTTCTCTCTCTCTCTCTCAATAAAAAGTTGGAGTCAGCCCCTCCCCTCCGCTTCTCTGCTCTAATTGTCACCAAAGCCTTGACTTTAAAACCGTGCGCGACTGTAGCCTCTTACGCAAAACGTCGCGTACACAGAGCAGAGAAGAAGCAGCCTCCTCTCAGCATTTCCAATTTTTTTTGGTTTCAATTACGCGTGCGTCTTACTCCCGTGCGTTATTTACGAGCCATATATTTATATTGTTGAAACCATGCAGGTGTGCGCCATGGTCCTCCTCATATCCAGCTCCGCTCTGCTCCTGCTGCTCCAAGGATGCTGCGCCGCGGCCAAGGAGTGGAAAGTACTGAACAACGACGCCACGGAGAACTTACCGGAGTACAGGGCGCCCAGGACGCAGACGCAGCAGCAGCAGCAGCAGCAGCAGCGAGGGATGGAGAGGGCGTCCGAAAGCAACAGCAACAGTGGCAACAGTAACCATACTCTGAATAACAGGGCGAAGAATGGAGGGAGGACAGCTAATGCCATTTCTTATAGTGAGTGTGCCATTCTTTTAATACATTGTTTTAAAATGTCATTAGAGGTGGCAATTGAGAAGATGATAAAGTACTGAATTTACTGTCTGGGAGTGAATCTGCTTTAAATTGATCTTTATGTGATTGGAAGTGAATAATGTCAAATCATACAATCTAATGGAACACAATTTTGACACAACATAGAAAGCATTGGAAGGAGCTGTGTGTTTGAAGGACTAGATTAAACTCATAGTCAAGTTTTTGTCACTAGAATTACTTAAAAGTGACACAAAAATGCGGTTTAATTCTTAATAATGTTATGTTAAAAGTGGGTAGTGTCGGAAAAGTACTTTGAAAAGCATAAATGTTTCAAAACTTCTGTAATTTCTGCCTCTCTAGCTGTTATCATAAAGATTCATGACTAATTTATGACATTCAGAAACATATATGGGGCGTAACGTTTGTTGGATACAGCTCGACCAAAACATGAAGAAAAACTGTATTCTTAGGTCATAACTGATGTGAAAATTAACAGACCTCCTCCCCATAATTTTGCTAATTAGCCAACAAGGGCGTTTGTTCTCAAGTGGATTGGCAACACTTTCACCTTTTGAGAATCAAATGCAGGCCTATAATTGAACCCAGCTTGTCACAATATAAGAAATTTCCCTTCGTTTGAGTTAATTCCTTTCCACTAATTACCAAATGAAGAACAGCTCGGCAGTGTGGGTGTTGAGTTTGAGGCCGGTGCCAAAGTGAGGCGATGGCATGAGATGTACAGACATTTTTGTGGCTTCTGCTGCTCTCCGCAACTTCAAATGAGGCGTTTAAAGACAAATCAACATTTTTCCACATTATTTACTGTAAACAAAGGAATAAAACGTCTTTCCTGCCCGAACGTGTGAGTGTGATTGCAACAACGCTCGTTCTCGAATGGAAAATATTTCAGAAGGTTCATTTGTTGTCTTTGGTGTTGGTATTGTCTATTAACTATACAAGAATGCCTTTGAGATGATTCCCACCTGGTAGCAATGGAAATGTTGTGATTGGGTCATATCTGGGGGTAATTTTATCACATTTTTGTCTAATTTTCATCATTAAACTTGTATTAAAAGATGCCATAATCTGATGGTAGGCAAACCATTTGTTTATGGTCGATTTCAGTAGAATCCGAATTTATTGGCATTATAAGTAACAAACTAGGAATTGGCTTTGGCTCATGGTTCATGTTATAAAGGCATGTATAGAAATTCTTATCATAAAGATCTCATAAAAATACATTCACATGCCCGCTCTATGGTCAGATACTCATGTAGCAACTTAAGCATGTAGGTCAAACAGTTTCACAAGAGTACATTGCATTTCATAGATGGTAAATATTAAACTCATTGCCCTGTTATTTCCTTCAGTTATGGTTAAATCCAATACAGTAGTGGCTCTGCAGAACGGGGCTTTACGTTGACTTCTATAAAAGCAGTGGCTCAATGAAATCACTTTTGACGAGTTGCGTTTGCTAAATGTCAGTCCAGTGCAGAGCGGACCAGAGACTGATTATGTGTTCCATTATGGCCGTAATTTAAGGCTCCATAAAAGCAGTTTGCGTAGCTCATCGTCAGTAATAGTGTCAGTGTGGTTTTGGAAGCGCTGGTCTGGCCGCTTCCCAAATCTGCTCCCAAACGCCTCGCTCCCTTCTCATCACACATAGGGACAATTCACAAGCTCACGCACCCGGACAGTAGTCTGCTAAAACAAGCGATCTGCCTACTTTGGGGTTTTTTTGGGGGGTTTTGTGTTGGCCAATAGCTCCACAGCAAATACTACGAAGAAAAGGGGAAACTGGAAATATGGCAGAGGGTTCAGGCTGTTCACATGACATCAGATTTGGACTGAAACGGTATTGAATCAGGAGTGAGGTTATCTGAAAAAGCAATTACCGGAGGTTATATACAAATAATTAGTTACTTTTCCATTGGGAATAGGTCACACTTACTTTCATATATGTGTCATGTTGTCTATGTTTCCAAAAAATGTGAAATAATTGTTGTGGTTCTTCTGAAAACGAGTTACATTTGAAAAGGAAAACTCAAAAAAAGGACAAATGACAAAAATGGCACAACACCAAATGAGATAAAATTTCTTTCTGAAATATTCTTTCTGTGTCCTCCTCTTCTCTCGATGGGATTGGCTTAAAAATGATGTACATTAAAATAAGCTTATCATTTTTTTTTCTCCATTTTGATTTTTCAGTCCTTTGATGAACGATTTAATCTCTGTCATCCTGATGCCAGAAGTCCTATCAGTATATAAACTCTGAATTTTGACCAAGAATTCCAAATATCACAGATTACTATCCCAAAACCGAAACCACATTTAACCATTTGGCAAGACATGAAAAAAGATCTTGCAGCAATAGAATGTCACCTCGAACACACTTAGCTCAGTGGTTCACAATTCGCCACACAGACAAATGCTAAATTATAGGTCAATGGCCTCTACACGGGAAAGGAAACCGCTACTTTGAGGTCAATTTAAAATCAGCACGAATGGACGACACTGGTAATAGTATTTAGTATCAATTTCACACAACAGCTTGCCTGTGTGGTAAGTGCCACTTGATGCTGCGTGTGGTAGGCTTTGTGTACAACTGTGGCAATCCCTGAGCGGCCACAACAGAATAACTCAAGATCAGGTTTGTGGAAAAGGGAAGTCACCGCATATAAATCCTTTGTTTAACCCGAAAGAAAACCACACAGGGAATCAGATACTTGGGCTAGCGTATCATTTGTTAACCGACATTTTCACTGCGTCTTGTAAAAAAACGGGACAATAACTCAAGCTGTTAAAAAGTTGTGGCCGCTATATAGGATTACAAGCCGTGGATGTTATCTCGAGTCAGTCTGGCAGATGTCCAAGATAGCGGCGAAATGTTGGGCCTTGAAAAAACGTAGTGTAGTGTCGTTTCTCTGCCCAGGCTTTCCCAAGAGCCACTGTCCGATTGTAGCTTTGGATTGAGCTTGAGTCGTTCAATAAGACCATAGTCTGGATTTGCCATCAGCGGAATACTGCCAGCTGGATGCCTTTGTCAACTATAATCGTCAGCTCATCACATAACTCAACTTAATATCAACAAATAGAAGTGTGAGTGGAGTAACAATGGAATACTTGAAAGGGAACTAACTGGAACTCACGCTGGTTTCTATGGAAATGCTTTTTTCACATCAATCCTTGACAGTTCATGGGTTGGATTAATTATGATTATTTCGCTTTTTTACTTCCATGGAATCCCCCAGATACCTCCAGAAAGTGAGATATACTTATTGTTTTCTCATGCGGTCTACTGCACCCATTTGTTGCTATGGAGATGGACATTCATTTGCTGTGAATGTGCCTGGTATTAACTGCTATTAAACTTACACATTAGTTAATCACAGATGTTGGGGTTGGCTCTCCTCTCCGCAGATATGACTTGTAAGTTAGCTAGGTGATGTCACATGCTTGTATTCGATGTACTGTGTGACATTCCGGGTAGAATAACCACTTTTAGAAGGAACCGAGCAAATGGTGGGTTCTCAACCAGGGTGAGATGCGGAGATCAGCTTTAAGATACACACGATGACTTTGTGAAGTGTGGGATAAAACATAAATCTCTTTAGAACATGAAAAAGCCACGACTCAAACCTAAAATAATTGTGCAATGGTGGAAAAAACAAGACAGAGCATTCCATCTCAAACGTCATCTACTGTAGCTTGAAGTGTCAGAATTTTATGTACAATTTTGAACAGATTTTGGCCATATTTTTGACCAAGAGCCGACTCTTGGCTAATGGTTGTTTGAAGCCATATATTGTGTTTTCTATATTCAAATGACAGAGACAAGTCAAATGAGCCTAATCAGAAGTCTCCATCCCCTTGTCCACAATAGCGTATATTACTCCTTTAATTTTGACGACAGTTTATAGTCCTTTGTGGATGAGGTTCTTTCTCCTCTCTGATGGTAAAGCTGCTTGGCAAAAAGCCTCCAGTTCCTGTAACTTCCTGGATTGCCTTGCATGAACAGCACATTTGAGGTCACCCCAGAGCGGCTCCATCATGGTATAATGTAAACATATAAAACTAATTTATCTGACAATATATGGCTAAGCACAGTGCAATGAGTGAAAGAGATGTTCATAAGCTGAAAATTTTGATAAAAAACAACACAATCCATAACTGTGTGTGTGATATTTCAAGCACAACTGTTTCAATGCGACCAAATGATTTTAACATTCCTAACAGTTTTCCTTGGAGCACAGCCATAACCTGATCCTGACCCCCTGCCTTCTCCACAGGTGCCTCTGAGCTGAGCTGTCGGGAGCTGCGTTCCACTCGCTTCATCACGGACGGGTCGTGCCGCAGCGCCAAGCCCATCCGGGAGCTGGTGTGCTCGGGACAGTGCATGCCCAGCCACCTCCTGCCCAACTCCATCACCAGGGGCAAGTGGTGGAGAAGCAACGCCTCCGAGTACCGCTGCATCCCGGCCCATTCCCGGATGAAGAGGGTCCAGCTGCACTGTCCCAACGGCAACACTCGGACTTACAAAATCCGTGTGGTGACCTCCTGCAAGTGCAAACGCTTCAGGGCCCACCACAACCAATCAGAGGCCAAGGAGGTGCCCAAAACGCAGAGAAACAGGAAGCACAGCCGGTTGTCCCAAGATCGGAGCAAAAACAATACGCCTCTCATAGACAACATGTACTGAAAAGACTTTTACACAGACTGAATATACTATTACAAGAATATATCTCCAGCAGAGAGGAGACAAAGAGGACTCACTCAAAAGCTAATATGCGCTGGGCTGGTTCAAGTCACGGACGTCATTATCGGTCCCTGCTTCTCAGCCATATTGTCAAATGTGATATAATGCATGACAAATACCATTATTGAGAGCTTGGCTGGTCAGAAGATGTAAGCACTGAGTCGGACAAATGTATTAAACTGTCGAAAATATCGCATTCGCTATGACGCAGCGCTGTTTCGTTCAAAGCTAATGAGAAGACCTGAAGGCTTCCAGTCGCACCTGTACAAACATCCAGCGGATACGCACAAAACAACGCCGCGTTTCAGAACTTTCCGAGAGCTCGAAAAAGGCCGATCTCTGCTTTTCGAAACGATCGCAATCCATCTTCATTTTTGGCCGAGGCTTTGACGAGTCGGTGGAGGAGCAGGAAGCCGGGATGTTTTGATGAGTATTTGGACAGTGTCTCAGCAGCGCCGTCCCAAATGGGGGGGACCGGCCCTGCGCTCGTCAGGCACAGTAGCACCTTTCCCACGACTCACGCTGATAATCTGGACGGAAGGAACGAAGGAGGAATGATGTTATTTGGGCTTTGAGACAACTGTAATCTGTCAATCTAAAGATGCATTTGAACTAGGCTTAGTAACGCTGATGATAGTGACCAGAAAAGACCACGTGATTGCACTTAGATTGGTTTAGAATCATACGGCAAGTACATTTGAAAACATTTTACTTTGAAATCACTGCTTTGGTGTCTGTACCTTCTTCTTAACTCGGTGGTTTGCAGGACTAACATTTCCAAACTGTGTTTTAGCTTTGCTTCACCATACCAATCTCATTTTAGCATTGGACCACCAAACAATGAAAACGCCACCAATATTCGGGCAAACTAATTAAAACTAATTTAGAAATCATTTAGTTGTATGTGTTGAACCACCATCAGCTCAATAGATGTCCCCTGCATAATATTTTGGTACATTTACTCTTATCCTGAAATCAAAATAAATCACTATTTGTTCTTTATTCTTTTTGCTTTGAAGAAACGTAGTTTTCTAACAACTGTGATATCATTCATGGACATGTTTGCCAACAGTAAGCAAGATAGAAGACTAGAAAAATCATTGCCAGAAATATATACGTAAAATGAAAGTAAAAGATTAAAGAAAAAGCAAGAAAAAAAATGTGGGAAGCATTGTGTAGAATTAGTCCAGGATTCGGCAGCTAATGTTGAAATTCTGGTGCCTGAATGGTTGTCCATCCATCCATCCATCCATTTTCTTCCCTTTAATCCATTTCTGGGTCAGGGGGGTGTCAATCAGAGATGCCACCCAAGTCTCATAGCACCAGCCCCTCACTGACCCTCTGCAGGTGGTGAGTCCACAGGAGGACGGCTGCTCTCTGACTGTGAGCATAGCCTTGATCTTTCAGTGGGGGCTTTGGGCAAAGTGGGGTTAAGTGTCTTGCCCAAGGACACAACGACAGCAGTCATCAGTGGGAGTCGGTGGAGAAGGTGTGGAGGTGGGAATTGAACCCACGACCTTCTGGGCTTAAGGCCAATGCTCTACCAACTGAGCTACTGTTGCCCCTGAATGGTTGTCAATAATAACAAAATAAATCAGAAACTCCACCCCATTAATACTATAACTTCTAACATCAAACATTTCATCTGCCTCACCTGCACAATATCTGTTTAATGTTTAACGTTTTTCCCTGAATATGAATCCAAACATCATCTCTATCCATGCACATGTATTTCCTGTCTCCTCGAGCACGGGCCACTTCCTGTCTGCACTTTTTGGATCGTACACTTTCCCACACACTTAACAAAATCGCTCAAATCATTTTGCCACATGCTCATTTCTCTTTTGTAAATGCATGAAATCCCAAAATAGCATAATAAAGGCAATATTTAATGTGGCACTACCCGGTCTCCATCCACAGACATCACAAGGCTCTTCCGTGCTGAGATTGGCTTCATGACGAGCATTCTCTGGGTTTCCTGAAATTGTTTGTGGCCCGTATTGCTTCCTGACGTGACTTGTCCAAACTGTTTGCTTTGTGTTAAATTGTGTTGTTGAAATGGCGTCTGGAGCTGGCTTGTGTGCGTGTGTACATATTTCACCTGTGTGGTCCTCTGCAGCGCTGTCTCCGAAGGACAGAGAGAGAGACAAAGGCTGCTCGGGAAACGCAAGAAGGACGATTCTAAAGAACGAACTGCGTATTTATTTTCTTTCTTTACATTTAAATTATTTATGCAGCCTTTTGTAGTAAATGATATACAATATTGTCATCTAGTATGAACCCTGTACAGAATATAAATAAAGTAAAGGAAGGTATATACATTCAGTCTGTCTTGTTTTTCTTAATCAAACATATATATAATTATTTTGTGTTGCCTTTTCTCATGTATAGAATAAAGCAGACCAAGGCAAATTGTGGCCAGGGAGCCAGGTCTGGCCCTATTCACATTTCTTTACCGCCCCCGGACACTTCCCAGCCGTTAGCTTCAAACCAGTCTGTCGCTTATATAAATGAATTAGGAGTCAATACTTATCGAACGCTTGTATTAATATGTGCTACCATCAATGAATCAATGAAGGTTCTTAAATACAAAAAACGGCCCTACACCATAGATAGATATCTCAATGTGGCCTCCTGAAGAAAGAAATTGCCCAGGTATAGAGGCTTTATTCAATAAAACCCTTTAAGACCTGATTTTCCAAATGGTTTCGGAATATAGAATTGCCATAATTGTTAGAAATGTCTATAGAAAAATATAGATTTAATGCCATGATGGAACTCCCCAAACAACGCATCAGAAAAAACCAAAACATTTGAAGTTTATGTCTTTCCCTTTTCTAATCTAATCCATCTCTGGGGCAGGTGCTAAGAGACCCAAGTCTCTTAGCACCAGTCCCTCACTGGTGGTGGGTCCACGGGGTGATGGGTTCTCTGTCATCGACAAGATGGCCTTGGTCTTTCAGCGGGGGCTCCAGGCAATGTGGGGTTAAGTGTCTTGCCCAGGGACACATCGACAGCAGAGATCAGTGGGAGCACGTGGCATGGGGTCATGGTGGGTTCGAACTCACGACCATTAGGTCCAAAGACCAGTACTATTTGGCACGAACTATGGGAAATTTACTCTTTAGAAGTATAAGTTGCATCCATCCATTTTCTTCCCCTTAATCAATTTCTGGGACACAGAGCACCAGCTCAGTATAAGTTTTCTTTTTTCTGCAGTATGAGTTGCAGAAAAAGATATTGCAACATAAATACTCAAAGGCAAATGTTTGGTTTTGTTTAAAAATCTTTTTCCTTGTCAGCCTAAAATTAAATTAGCTAATTGTCCACAGTGACATGGTTTTCATCCAGTTAAGAATTCTGTGCAAAGTCCAGGGGCTTTTTTCCTGTCCTGTCTTCATAGTCTGTGACAACTTTGAATTGTTTTATTTAACAGAAACAAAGTCAAAGACGCCACTCAGCATCACTGTCACCTCCGTCCCTCCGAGGTACAATCCTGTAATCATGTCAAACTCACTCTGATCCTAGTGGGCCTGCTCTCTTTTCTCCAGATCAGTATTTTTACCTTTCTTGCATCACATCCCACATTCTTCACAATTAAAAAGTCAGTGGCTATTTTTCAAACTGAAAAAAGTGGAGAAATATAAGTTCCCATTATGCTTGCTTGAATTATATTGAAAACACATGATTTAGTGAAATTTCTCTTCCTTATTTTTGTTTTATTTCAGAGCTTGGTTGAGAGAACTCTGAAATAGTAAAATATCAACGTAAAATGCAAGTTGACTCAATCGGGTCATGTTTTTCAAGGCAGATCTAGAAATGTTAGTCAATAAGCGCAGAATGGTGGCCCAGACAGTTCTGAGGTATACTGTATACTAAGACAACCAGTAGAAGTAGTAATTGTTGATGTCAGGACCGGAGCTGAAGGACTCTACCTGGTGCATGTTTTGGGTGGTGATGGAAGCCGGAGCGCACGGAGGAAACCCACACAGACATGAAGAAGAACATGCAAACTCCACACAGAGAGGCCTGGGCCTACAGGAACCCATCACGTCGACAAGAGTATAGTATTTGGGAATCTTCATCACTAATAAAAGTATGAGAAACTGTATCTCAAAAAATAGCGGAAGGGGGTAGAATTTCCAATCATGAAATAAAGTCAACAATTGAACTGAAGAATGGGGAGACATTTTTTATAAATAAAAGAAGTACTGAAGAAGTCTGCGGTGGAGGGAGAGTGATGCCCTCAGCAAGAGCGAGGGATAGGAGACAGGGGTCGGGTCAGAGAGGGTTTGGGGCTTGCGTCTGCGTGTGTGTGTGTGTGTGTGTTTTGTGTTGTATGAGTGAGAGGGGTTGGGGCCAAATGGGCCTGTTGTACTGCATCCTGCTTGTTTTTTGTTTGAAATTAACATATTTAATCAATTCCAGGGCTTTTGTAATTGGACTCAAGTAAGAACACAGTACATATGACCCATCTAAAAACATTACTGTACCTAATTATGTTGTTGCATTATGTTTACCTCCCAAATACAGTGATACAACCTGAAATTGAGCCGCGCTGTAAACTCAAAAACAGAACTCTCCGTGGCAACAGCGAGCGTGGCTTTCCGTGTGCCAGGGAAGAACAGTTGGTGTTGAGTTTCACTACATCACCCATAATGCACGGTCATTATGTCATTTCCAGCCTGTGTTTCCATTCAGGCCGCACTTCCACTGATAAATTTCCCTGAGAAATTCAAGATCACATCCTTTACATGAGCACTAGCAAAATATATCAATGGTGACCCCACATCTGCAGACCTGCGCCGAGGTAACGGCGGCAGGTTCAAGTCCCAAAACGGGTTCAAGCGAAGTCCAGGTGCAGAAATCCCCAAAAGTCCCAAACACATGTGAGTCTTATTGCTAAATTAGGGGCTTCCCAAGAGTATGCGCAAAAACCAGTG